CACACACACACACACACACACACACACACACACACACACACACACACACACACACACACACACACACACAGAAAGTCACACCGGTGTGTGCCCGCACACACACTTTCACATGCGTCAACATCTAGTGTGAAAACGAGTGGCCGTGTTATGGAATGGTTGCATTGGTAGTGCTGTGGTCAGTCAACACACTCATTTCTGGCTGAAAGCTGGCAGAAAGTTGGTATCTTTTTAGCGTTACGGTGATGAGTCTTTGCTCGTAACTTATGTATTTATAATAGATGAGCATTTGAAAAGAGGCACACCACCACATATATCTGAGTGTGGAGCAGGTCGTCTTTTTGAGAGCATCATATTTCACCTGATCCTCATCACTTCGCAAAAGTTTCGTATCCGATCCCTGCGATCTTGCTAGAGCTCGACAGTCAGCAAGGGATTCGAAACCGCTCAAACCACCACTACACTACCTGGGCCAGTTTGCTTTTCCCCACTGCGGTGACTTGAGCTGTAGCATAGTGACTGGATTTTCTCCTGCTGGACTGCCTTTTTTTTGGGGGGAGGGGGGGGGGGGGGGATTAACCTCCAACGAGTCGGCTAGAGGTGGTTATAGACTGCCTGAAACTGGTCTACTAGAATGCTTTGCCGGGCACGTCAGGTCAGGTCAGCTCCGCTCAGCTCAGGTCTGGAGGTAGCGATGGTCTAGTAACTTTAGTTACTTACTGGCTTAGCTTGTTTTCTAAACAGCTTTCTCACAATCGGTTTCTCATTAGGGCTTTTTCATTGTTGCGATATCTTCGTCGTCATCTCTTGCTTCTCTTCCAGCTGCACAGCGCAAGAATGAACTTCTTTTGGTCACTTCGCCAGCAGTCGAATTGTCTTCAGAGTAGCTGCCATTGCAAGGCCGTCTTTCAAGGATTGCCTGAATGTTTTTTTTTTTTTTTTTTTGGGGGGGGGRGGGGCTAAGAATCATCCGCCTGGCTTACCTGCAATGGTGGTATGAGCACCCATCACTATTAGCCCTGCCGAATGGCCCCAGTTCATTCATTGGTGGGGGTCTTAATGGATTGCCTGAGGGTATCGATTCAAACTTTGATTGCCATTCGCGGCGGCTTTATCGTCATGCATTTATTTTTCATTCCTCATAGTTCCCTTTTATTTTTTATTTTTTATTCCTCATAGTTTCCTTTTTCTTTTTTTTTCAATCTTTTTTTTTTTTCCCTCGGTAGTTTCCATTTAATATTTTTTTTAACAACAACTATTTCTCTTGGAGAAGTTGGAGGTCATAAATGAAGTGACATATTTTCTCTCTGTAACCCTCCTGGAGTAGTGCTGACCCACCATGCCAAGTGGGAAAGGAGGGCGAGAGGATGTGTATTTAGGATGATGACACATTGACATTTCAAGTGCCACTGGGCTCTCGTTTGTTTAATTTAGGCATTTACTACTTGTGTTTTGATATGCTGCATTAGTTATTCTTCCTAGCGAGGCAGTGGAGGACAAAACAATGCTGATTGTTTACTCTTTGTGGCCAAGCATTGATTGATGATGCAGGCCATAGAGATGAAGAGAATTGTCTGCACCCTGCCAATGTATATAAAGCCTTGATGTGATGTGGCTTGATGCCTGCCCACCCACCCTATTCTCCAAAATCTGGTTTTATCGTGTTGCTGGTTGTCATCACGTCTCTGAGCCACTTAGATCCTCTAGTGTCATACCACCTCATCTCTCTCTCTCTCTCTCTCTCTCTCTCTCTCTCTCTCTCTCTCTCTCTCTCTCTCTCTCTCTCTCTCTCTCTCTCTCTCTCTCCTGTTTGCTTGGCATTCATATCGCACAGATCATGGCATTGATACTGATGACATGAAAATTATTTGAAATATTTTGAAGAAGTGTTACACACATGTGATGATGAATTCGTTCCGTTCTCGGACCTGCTTTTCCTCTCCCTCACTTATCTTCCCGCCTCACAGCCCAGTTAGGAGTAGCCCTAGTACGCCCAAAGGGCATGATGGGCTCTTATCAAAATCATTTTCTTTTTCTTTTCGATTTTCACGTAGGAAGCTTTCAAAACTGACATTGTGGTTCTTGTCAAAATCACTAAGCCAGTCTAGTAGGTCAAACGTAGTCAACGCACCAACGAGCCCAGCTCAGTCGGTGGGCCCGTTCACTTGTTGAAACACAGGGAAGTGTCCGAAACCAGATCTCAAGCAGATGAACAGATCAAAATATTTCTGAATTACCTGGATCCAGTCAGCTGAGCGATGATATCTCAAGGCCGTCGCCCTTCGAAAAAGAGAAAAGAAAAAAAGAAAAATGGACTAACTTCAACTATGGCAACACCGCATTTCCCAGCAGAACAGATTGAAGGGAGCGGAGGGCTGGGAAATGCGGTGTTGCCTTTCTGGGCTCTGAGGTGTGTAGCTCCCAGAACAGATAGAAGGGACCGGAGGGCTGTGTCATGCCCTCCATACTTGGCATTTTCTACAGAGGTGCTACTCTGTATCCCTTCTCTTCCCAAGCACTGTTTTGCCTCTTCGTAGACAGCAGAACATGCAGGAGTGCAAATGCTTAAGAGACAGCATCACCTCTACGGTGCGGTGCACGAGTGGGCACAACTCGATGAGGGAGAGGAGGGTTGTGTCATGGCATTTACTTCAGAGGGGCCATCCTCCATCGAATCCTCTTGCCAAGTATGGCTGGCCTTCTTCTGGGACAGGATTCTATGCAGGACCGCAGCTGCTGAGGAGACAATCGCCGCAATCATGAGGCGTGCTAGCGGCTTCGCGGTTGTAGTCCCCTTGGCTTGGCTGCCAACCTATGTTTCCTTTCCCCTGCCCCTCCACACTCTCCCCCTCTTAGCGGCTGTGATGTCCTCATGCCCTGTTGCGTCCACCAATGTAACGTCTCGTCGGGTTGCCTGAAACTTGACGATGCTGCTGCTGCTGCTGCTGCTGCTGCTGCTGCTGTTCTGCTGTTCTGCTGCCGCTGCTATGGCGGACAGTTCGTGCTTGTGCTGCTTTTGCAGCCCAGTTGGCAGGTTTATGGACTATCTGATCGCTGGCATGGGCTGTGCGGGATGGGATTAAAGGAGGAAGCAGAGGGCATTGAAATCAGACTCGTTTTCTTTCTCACTCAGCGTACATGGAAACAGACACACTGGCGCCAGGTGCCCACACAAAGCTCAGAGATATCACAGCCGAGAACACAGTTCAGATACAAACTTGCTTCGAATGGCTATGGCGCCTGTGCACCCTCACTTCCCCTTCCAACACTGTATCCTCATTAATTGTTTACACATACGCCTCCCTGGATCTCCCTGGATGTCCCACACACGCACAAAACTCCCTTTACACTCACACACATACACATTATAGCCTATCTCTAACCTAGCGCAGCTATGGCTGCTTCTACCTCTACCACTAACTGGCGGCTATGACCGCTTCGTCTCCCTTGCAGCCCTCTTCTCCCTCGGGCATCTGCAGACCTCCTTGCACAAGTCGCTCTGGCAGCACTTCCGCACGGCTCGCAGTCTGAATGAACGAATAACTGGACGCTGCCTCTTGATTTATACTTCTGTTTGTCGCTGGTCTGCTCCTTTCCACCGGGCCCAGGGTGCACATAGTCCGACATGGTACTTGCTGACTGGACAAGGTGCGACTGTGACTGGGTACCGCTGACTGGACAAGGTAAGTCTCCCCACTCACCCACTTGCCTACGGACTGCTTGTAAGACTCTCGAAGGGGCAGTCCTAGAAGACTCTAGACTTGCCTACTTGACCCTTTGGTACTGTGGCGGCTACGACTACGGTTGACCTTTCAGACCTACAGCAACAACCAGCAGTCATAAACTACGACTTCTAATCTACAGGTAAGGAACTCGAATCTTCTCAACCCTCGTATGTACAATAGCTGCCTACAGACAACTTTTAGGGGCAGGTCATGGGTTCAAACCTGAATGGGGCGAACTGTACTGTACACGGGATCGGGAGAGGTCTAGGGATCGAGCCCTGGGATCTGCATCTGCTACCACGATGGCGAAAACCATTTCAGCATCCGCTGTAATGCAGGTTCAGTGGACCGCCTTCATCCGGATCCAGCGGTGGAATGGCAACCATGATCATATTGAAACGCTACCAAGGATAATGTGTGAGTCAGTGTGACTCCATCTATATGCGAAGGTGGCGTCTTTATGATCTGACGGTGGAATGACAACTGATGGGTGCGAAATCCGGAGGATGAACTGGACATGAATGTTTATGTCAAATTGGATTGCCAATTTGCCACCTTTGTTTGGAGGAGGCAACTCTCACGAAGACCGAAGGGGAAGTAAGTTGGCGTAGCTCACACCTGATCTGGCAAGGGGACATTAGCACAGAGGAGCAGGTTTCCGAGTCTCAATGTTTCGATCGTGGGTGGCCGTCAGTGCCCTTCACTAGGTGTGGGAGCTTAAACCGCCCGTACATTTCCCAGCCATGCCATTTTTCTCTGATGCAGCCATATGGGCACCGCAAGTTTTGGGGGTCAGCCTACCGAAGCAAAATGGCTGGCAGCGCCAGCCAACGGAATTGTCATGCCGTTGTTTTTTTCTTTTTCTGGCATGAAGCACATTTCCAGGCTCGACAGGGGAAGGGTCAAAAGTACACGTGGTTCAAGAGTCAAGACACTCTGCCTGCAGGAGATGGAGATGGATTTTTTTTTATTATTATTATTATTTTTGAACCAAGCTGTTGCATACTCGCGAAACACAGTCATAAGTATGGCGCAGATCCCCAGAACCGACCAGATAATACAGAGTAAATACAAATACAGCGGAAGACTTGATACACATGGACTGACTCAGACCTGACTCAGACTGCAACGAATCTCTCACAAACATGCATCGGTGGTGTGAAAGCCCTGGCCTTGAACATGGAAGAGGAGGCCAGGGGCTGATCTCATACACGGATGAATGG